GTAGCTTGACAGTATTCTCACTATCCTCCTACGGATCAAATCAATAAGACGTGCACCACAGCCATTCTGCAATGGTAACATAAGATAATTGTACGTTCATTATTTCCTCTCACCTTTGATGAAGAGGAAGCCTAGCTGGTACACATGTTCTGCTATAAAAGATTTTTAACAATTTTACAAGTGAGAAACCCTACGGCTAGCACAAAGTACAACTAGAAGTCATTTTCACTGCTTTCTTCTTAAGTGGCTTTAAGAAATTTAGCTGAATAAACAACTGATAAAGGGCTCCTCTACAATGCTCCTGCTCCTGGGGCTGGACAATTTTACTAATGGTTTCTACCACAGCTCAGGGCGTCACATGTAGATATTTTTCTCATCACAAATGGAAATGTTAACGACAAAAAGTTTAACTTGGTTTGAAATCTTCATTCTACCATGAAAGGTTAATTTTTATAAACTTACATTTTATTTCTGGTGAATTACATAGTATGGAATCCCCTGTGGTTCAGTTTATGACCATAAACATTTGGCCAAACGAAAAGTCAGGGCCGTGACCTTAAAGTAAAGATACTTTCCTTCTCTCTATCTCTGTCTCTGGCAAGCGTGCATACCCTATGGCCAAAAACTTAAAAAAAAATTGTAAGATTTATTACTTAAGTTGGGTAAGTCCTGTCTCTACCACTGGTGTGAAAAAGGTTTCCCTTTTCTTAGTAACTTGAACATGTATCACAGATTTTATTCCTATATTTAAATGTACTTTCTATTGTTAAAAAATTATTTCATTTAACTTTTTAAGAAATTTCTTTATTTTAATTTGACCGGAGAGGGAGAAGGAGAGGAAGAGAGAGAGAGAGAGCGAGCGCAAGCAAGTCACCAGGTTCGATTCTTGAACCATGGTCAGCCATGCAGGAGTCCACCCTTAACCAGCATACCACCTGCTGGCCCCTTAAATGGACTTTGTATATAGCAGAAAATGCCCAGAGAATACTTTTTTAAAAGAATTATTGGGATAGCAGGTGGTGTAGTGGTTAAAAGCACTGGACACTTCCACATGGCCAATCGTGGTTCGAGTCCTGAACCTGATGGCTTTCTTTCTCACTTTCCCTATCTCTCTGTCTCTCTCTGATCAAACTTGAAAATAATAATAATAATGAATAAACTTAAATTTAAAAAAATTCTTAAAAAGAAAAGAAAAGGTGGGATCTGGCAGGTGGCATTGTGGTTAAGGGTGCTAGACTCTGACAAGGCCAACTGCGGTTTGAATCCTGAACCTAGCAACTTGTTTTCTCACTTTTCTCTGTCTCTCTTGGGTCAACTTCAAAAAATAAATAAATAAAATAATGACAATGAATAAAATTAAATAAAATAATTCTTTATGTGAGGATAAGATTGGCACATAAAGAAGCTACTGTTTTACTATCAAACTTAAGCAATGTATTTTAATCCTCACTAATGAAGTACTAAGATTATCTGGTAAACTTGTTTTCTCACTTTTCTCTGTCTCTCTTGGGTCAACTTCAAAAAATAAATAAATAAAATAATGACAATGAATAAAATTAAATAAAATAATTCTTTATGTGAGGATAAGATTGGCACATAAAGAAGCTACTGTTTTACTATCAAACTTAAGCAATGTATTTTAATCCTCACTAATGAAGTACTAAGATTATCTGGTACTACATTCTGTCCAAATGAGTTTTATTACAAATGCTACTTTTTGTCCACAGATAACAATATTATATAACCTATGTAATACTATGCTGCCTTTAAAAAAAAGAATTATTTAACTTTATTTATCCATTTTAATTTGACAAGAGAGGGACAGAGAAAGAGAGAGAGAGAGAAGGTGAGAAAGCAATCTGCCAGGTCTGGGCCTTGAGCCGTGGTCCACCATGTGGGAATCCAGCACCCTTAACCACCATGCCACCTATGGGCCCCCAATACTACGCTGTTTTATAAGTAAATAAATGTCCTGGTTATTAAAATGTCCCCAGTGGGACCAGCAGTTAGCATAATGGCTATGTTGTTTGACTCCCATGCAGTTGACTACGGTTCGAGTCCCAGACCCGGTGGCTTAAGCTCACGCCGGGCGCGTGTGCGTGTATGCCCAAGATCCCGAGAGGAGAATGGAGGAGAAGGGATTGCGGCATGACCATCCCCCCTGGGGGTGATTTCTTGCTTTCTGTCTCTCTGTCTCTGTCTGTCTGGTAAGCACACGCGCCCTATAGCAAAAATCTCTCCCCCCCCCAAAAAAAAGTCCCCAGTACCTGTGAAAGTGCCTAAGATATAGTAGGTGTTTAATAAATAATTATTCAATGAAAGTAATGTATAGTTGAGACATAGCAACTGAGAACTTAAGAGCCAGTAAACAAAATCCTGCAAAATAGCCACTTCAGAAAACCCTAGGGCAATTATAATGATTCTGTCCATCGGACGATTGTTTTTGGAGCTTCTTCTGGCAAGATGTATACTTTTCTTTCTACTAGAAAGCTCAAAATATCACAAATACAATTAACTATCACTATCAACTTAGAATATAGACGAGTGGGCTGAGTCTCACTGTCAAGGCCCCTGTAAAAAACAGCTCAGAGCAGTATCACCAACCAAGATGTTCTGAAACTGAGTTATTCCAGAGGTTGACATCCTGAGCAGCAGAGAGACCCAATGAACTGATCTATCAAAACTTCTTCCTGGGAAGAGTAGCTGATAACCTTGGAAAACCCCTTGCCTAAAATGCCACAGTTTTGAGAAGGACAAAGATATGAAGAAAAAAACAAATTCACTTGAAAAAAAAGATATAATAAATTAAACCACTACTAGCAACACCATCAGTAGGGAACTTAATGGCTTAATAGCTAACATTTTCATTTTACCTTCTCTTACCAAGAATGGAATTATAAAAACCGGTTGACTTTCTAAGAAGTAATTCAATTTTCATTGAACCTGATGAGTTAGATATTTAAAAATCTCACAGGCAGCACTGGATCATGAAGCAAGGTGAAGTCCCCTAGAGCCTACAACTGGATTGATGAGTCACACTAAATATATACACTTTTGTTCTCTTTCCTGCACCCGCTGATGCAAGTCTTGAGATGACACTGACGTAGAAGGAATTTGCTAAGACAGCCAATTCTCACATGTACCACAGTTTTAAAAATTCTACATTCTACTTGGCTAATTATTAAATGTATTCAAAAACTAAGGCAAGGAATATTTTATGTTTATCAAATTATTGCATTGTTAGAAAAGTTGTGATGCATTTTTGCATAGGAAAAACATGTCGTGAATTTTCTAATAACCCAGTCAGTTAAAAATAAATGCCCAAGTGCTGAAAAGGCTTGTGGTAAATCAGTATAGCCAAAAAGTATCAGTGTATAGTATAAGTTGAGATAAGCCATTAGAAAAAGAATTTGGCAATATGAACCATGATCATATTCTATCTACATACGTTGACATACATTGTTGATTAAAATTTATCCTAAAAACATTTTCCAATAAAGAAAAAAATCACTTAAAACAGGAAGATACTCAATGTAAATTTTCCAGTAAAGAGATACTAAAAATTAGTCTAAAATGTCTGAGATGCATGATTACATTTGTGTTTAAAGGTTTTGGTGCTGAAAATGAAGTAACAACAGAGAAATATGTTTGACAAAGGCTTATCTTCATTAGGGCTACAACCATGTACGAAAATACATATGGAGATACACGGAACAAGGGAATACATAATGGTAGTAACTGTTTTTAATTCCTGGCATCTGCTGACAAATTTTGTGAAATGATGATATATTATCTTAAAATAAAAAGCCATTACCATTTTAAAACATTTTCCGAAAACTAGCCTTTTCCAGAGAAAATACGAGAAGTTGAAACTCAGTAATAGACACAGCCTCGGTGGTGCAGTACTGGAAGCCACAATGGCTGACCAAGGGTTCAGATCCCTGGGTCAGCTTGAAACCATGCTGGGTGTGTGCCTATGGGTACCATGTATCCTGATGAGCTAGAGCTGGAGAAAAAGGATTAGGACATGGCAAGACCCAGGCGAGGATGCCTCTCTCTCTGTCTACCCCCAGCCCCTGCTCTACATGCTATCATAAAATCAGAACAAAATACATGGCTATGGAACCCTGCCTCTGCATTTTAAAAAAGTAAGTAAATAAGCAACAGGTTCCCAAGTCTCCCCTTCTTCTCACCAAAAACCTCACAAATCCTTGGGTTAGATAAACTTGGGAAGGGATGCACATTAAAGGTTGGTATCAGCGAGGCGCACTGCATGCTTACCGGTTTTCAGAACACCTGGAATAATTCTGTTTCACTTTAGTAAGCTCAGCGTTTGCTAGGTGTACTTTATCATAAAACCCTCTTAGCTTGGAAGGCCTGGAAAATTCTGACCACGGTTTGGAACATGCTGCTTGGGCTGATAATGCTCAAAGTGGACAACAGAAGGGAGGCACCTAAATTACCCAAAAGCTGCTTCTAGACCACACTCTCAAGTTAGGAGTCGCTACGGAGCATACACCTGATGCCCCAGGTGTATGTATTAAGGTAAAGAGTTTGAGACCTACTGGTCTACTTAGGTACCTAATCCTAGGGGGGCAGCGGGGCGGGGGGGGGGGCATACAAAGTAAACCCTTTTGCGTATAGAGAGGGTTTCTGGCTTTCACCAAACGGGTTCTCATGAAGTTTAAGAACATTACTTTCTACAAAGGAATGGCATCTCTTCTATAATGAAGAAGTGGCAATGAAAGAAATCTGAGTGACCCATACAACAACTAGCCAGCTTCTCTTTTGGATATAAATGTAGTATTTCTCAAGACAAATGAAAAAAATAAAGCACTGATCTTTTTGAAGTCTGGATATTTTTAAAAATACAGATGCATATGTGGTAATGGTGTGTCTCCATAGGACAAGTAGCCAGTATCTACTTCTTAGAACTAAAGGATGGACAAATGGCCCTTCACCCCTTCTACATAGTGACTGAGTATTTATGAGACTGTTACCTCCGGTCTAAGTGTCGCTTTCATGCATGCTGGACAAAGAGGCCCGTTTCGGGAGAAATGAAGGGGAAGGTGCCGAGTTCGATTGCGACATGTTGGCTCCTCACATATCAACCAGCCCTGGAAGGGGAAAAAAAAGAGAAACTTCAGTCTTATCACCATAGACAAATATAAATGCTAAACCCTTCTGTTAGCAAGATATACTCATTTTATTCAAACTTTCTTTACAGATTCTAAAATGGCTATAGTTATCATTCCTGATACATTAATTAGATCTATTTGCCCCAAACTTAAAAGTTAGGAAACCCCGTTAAAAACAAAAACAAAAACAAAAAAACAAACAAAAAACCCGAGATGTTACTCTCTTTTCATAAAAAAAAAAAAACCCACCCTCACTCAATATACATTAAAAATCTCCCAATAAAAAAATTTATTATATACAGAAGGAAAACTTATAGGTTTTCATTCACTCGCAAAAATCACTATGGGTCCTGGGGCCGGCAGGTGGTGTGGTGGTTAAGGGCACTGGACTCCCACATGGCCGACTGTGGTTCAAGTCCCAAACCTGGCACCTGGCAGATTGCTTTCTTACCCACCCCCCACTCTGTCCCTCTCTGGTCAAATTGAAATAAAGTTAAATAAAAATAATTCTTTGTATAAAAAAAAACACTACGGGGACAGCCTGTGGTGTGGTGGTTAAGGTGGATAGATCCTACATGGATGACTATGTGGTTTGAGTCCCAGATCTGGAGGCTTGAGAAGCATGCTGGACGTTTGTGCATGTGTACCCAAAATCCCCAAAGGAAGGAAAAATGGAGGAGAAAGGATTGTACCAGGACCACCCCCCACAGAGGGTGCTTTCTCAAGTTTTTCATCTGTCAAGCACATGTGCCCTCTGGCAAAAAAATAAAATAAAATAAAATTCTACTACCAAAGGAAGTGAAGAGTGTACCACATAGAAATGAATGGCCCGGGGCTGGTAGGTGATGTGGTACTTAAGGGGCTAGACTCCCACATTGCTGACTGGTTTGAATCCTGGACCTGGTGGTTTGCTTTCTCACTTTCCTTCTCTCTCTCTCTCTCTGTCTCTCTCTGGTCAAATTAAAAATAAATAAATGAAATGAAATAACTCTTTATTTTAAAAAAGAAAAGAAATGAATGGCCTTCCCAACAACTGAGTGGATGTTGGCTAGTTACTTGATTGCTATGCTCGGTTTCCTTCTCTTAAAAAAGGATACGACAGCACTACATACCCTAAAAAGTTGTTGTAATTGTTTAATACATTTAAAGTGTTTAGAATCATACTTGGCATAAAAGGAACAACAAATGTGTTATCTCATTTAAAATGAGTATATTCTATTGATAGTCTCTGGAGGCATAAAACGGGCTGCAATGTTTCCAAGGACAATGTCAACTGATCACTATTTTCCCAAGGTTTGAAATAGCCACTGCCCACTTCTCTGTCCTTTAGAGCCCTCGTCTCACCTTCCTTCTTCAGTTACTCTCCCTTGCTGTGCTTGTTTGAATTTTCTCACAGTGATGTGATAACAATATGCTTATTATCTTAAATCAGCATTATGATGTTTATGAAACATATCTGTTAAGGAAGACATGACTTCACAAATGGGGTCAAGCAAAGCTCAGATGCTCACACACAGGCACCGGGGTCTGTGGGCTGTGGTGCCACATGCACTGCTATCCAGGGGCATGAGCACGAGGCAACCATAGGGCAGGTGCTGGGGTATAAAGGTGAACAAGTGAGCTCCCTGTCTTATGGCCTTCCTGCCTGAGGAGCTGCAAGAAGGGAATTGACTATGTGTAGGTCTTGGAGTGCTTTGAGAGACAGCAGTTTCTGAACTAGTTTTAAAGAATGAGTGAGTTTGGTACATAGAAAGGTAGGAAAGACAGCTTAGGCAGAATGAACAGCATACGGCAAAGAATAAAGGGCAGAAAGAGCTATACTGTAATATAATTAAAGAAAGGGACTGATTGGGGCCAGCAGGTTGTGTGGTGGATAAGGTGTTGGAATCTCACATGGTCGACTATGATTAGAGTCCCAAACCTGGCAGCTTGAAAGTCACGCCAGGCACGTATGTGTGTGCACCTAAAAATCCCAGGAATAGAGCAGAGAAGGGACGGCAGTATGGCCATTCCCTGGCAGGGGGTGATTTCTCACTTTCCCTCTCACTGTTTCTCTCTGTATCTCTGGTAAGCACACGTACCCAATGAAAAAGAAAGAGAGAAAGAGAGAAATCAATCAATCAGTCAATCAATCAATCACAATCTAACCCCATTCCCTATTTCTAGTCTGAACAACCTGCTGGTCTTTCTCCCTTAGATTAGAGCAGGGTACATACAGAAGTGCTCCTTAATTAGGTTAGGCACTTCAGTCCATCATTGAGTAACATCTCTTTGCAGTGTTAATCCAGAAGGGAGATAGGCCCTCATTCACTGCCATGTTGCTTGACCTCATTTCTCAGAATAGGATCTCCTTAGAAGGAGCTAAAACCAAACTCAAGGAAAAGCACTGAGAATTGGCTCTTCTGATAGCACAAAGGGAAAGTGCATTGTAGAACTTTTTGACTAAGCATTAAAAAAAATGCTACCTTTGAAGAATATAAAATTCATCTAGTTAATACATTCCTAGAAAGCTTCATTCAACTGGCTAATTTATTTTAAAATTTGAACTTTTCAGGTAAAAGGTCTCAACAAGTCCTATGAAACTACTTTTATATGCTCAGAATTATATTAAATACTTTGGGGAATAGGCAAAGGGGCCCCAGGCACAGAGTTTCAGAAAATTACAATGTAAATAGGAAAGCAAAGTTCACACACACAAAGACTAAAAGCAACCGAGCATGGTATGACTTTAAGAACCAAGGTGGATGGTGCTATGGTTTGGGTATGGCTCACCGCCCAAAAGTTCACGCGCTGGGAGCTTGGTTCCCAATGGTGTTGAGAAGTGGGGGACTTTTAGGAGGAGGAGCCTAGTGGATGGTGTTTGGATTAGGACAAGACCTCCCTAAAAAAAAATCGATTAATGTCCTATGGGAGGGAATGAGTTCACTCCCACAGGAAGGAGTCAGTTATAAAAGGAAGATGCTGCCGCCTTCCTCTCTGCTGTTGGCCATGTTGTGAGGCAGCACCAGAGGCCGGATGGATTCCAGTCCCACACCAAGGCTCTCAGCCACCGGGATCGTGGGCCAAGTAAACTTTTCTCTTTGTTTTGTTTTAGTAATACAATAATGGACTAAGACGTGTGGCACCGACTATAAACGCTAAACAATACAGAGAAGTAACGGAGTCCTGTCTGAGCCAAACTACAGATGATCCTTGACTTGACAATGGGGCTATTTCCAGACAACTCCATTGTAAGTTAAAAATCTAGTAAGTTGGGGAACCAGCAGTTAGCGTAATGGCTATGTCGCTGGACTCCCACGTAGTCGACCACAGTTCGCGTCCCGGACCCGGTGGCTTAAAACTCACGCCTGGTGCATGTGCGTGTGTGCCCAAGATCCCGAGAGGAGAATGGAGGAGAAGGGATTGCGGCGTGACCATCCCCCCTGGGGGGTGATTTCTCGCTTTCTGTCTCTATGTCTCTCTCTGTCTGTTTGGTGAGCGCACATGCCCTATAGCAAAAACCTCTCCAAAAAAAAAAAATCTAGTAAGTTGAACATGCATTTAATATATCTAGCCTACCAAACCTCACAGCTTGCCCTATGTATCACTGACTGTGCACTTCCTTTATATCACTGTAAAGTTAAAAAATGTTCACCAAAATTATAAGTCAAACCATCGTAAGTCAGAGGTCATCTGTACTACCATCACAGCAAAAGACCATAACAAGAACAAAGAATCAGTGGTTCTGAGCCACAGGCAACTGTGATGCAAGTACAACCTGCATGTACAGTTTAATGCCATATTTATGTTTCCTTCCAAAAAGCCATTAAATTAGGAGTACAGCTCACAATCAGCCCCTTTAGAATTAAATAAGATATTTTGGCTTAGCATGTTCTAGGCAGGAGGGTACATTGAGGAATTGTGGAGTTATTAGCAACAACAGGTATTAAATTTTAAATATAGCATATAAAAAACACAGAAGGTGAGACAAATACCTGCCTAGACATACTAATAAAGGGAACAGTAGAATTCAAGCAAACCATGTATGAAAAATGCAGGACTAGACCTCGCTCTTTAATCAATTATTTGGATTTGTTACATTATATTTAATAACTGAGGCTTTACATGCTTTGGGATGTTAATGTAGTCAGTTAGTTGCCAATTCAGTTGTATTTCATTCTGTTTTAAACAAAATTAAAAATCAGCAAGCAGACAGGTAAAAACCATCATATTTTGAGGCAACAAAGTATATTAAGTACCTGAAGATGACCTGGAAGTTAAAGTGATTTTTTAATTTTTAAAATGTACTGTTCACAAAGCTAAATTCCTTTTCCGATGTTTTTGGAGCTTCATTCTGTCAATTCACTACAACTTCATGACTCACTGGGTGAGCTGCCAACCTGGGAGAAGCTCAGTTGTCATCTCACCTGTTTTTAAAACAAACACCTAACTCTATCTCTGACAGAGTTACTAACTAAATGTCCTTTCAAATCATATAGAAAACAGATAATATAATTTGTCTAGACTTCCTACTAGTTATAATTAACATTAAAGAGGTTTTTTTTCCTTTGTCACCTCTCTATTCAGTGCTTATTTGGGTTTGTTTGTACTTACTATCTGTTAATCTCCCTTTACACATGACAACAATAACTAGTGCTATTATGCATGGAAATTAAACATGCTGATAACTGTGCGAAGGGAACTGGGGCTGAAAAAAAATATTAGAAGCCTGTAACTCTTTATGCCTCTTGTTTTATTTTGATAATTAAGCTTTTGGTCATGGTGTATTTTAAACACAACTCTTCTATGGGGGAAACAGGCCCTAATCATATTCAATATATGCTTTGCTTCAACTGCATTTTGTCAAGTACATTTTGGTTAACTCCGTGTTCCCTGTAACAGATGTTAACTGACAATGTTAAATCTAACTTCCAAGGAGCATTTATATCATTCAAATTAAATATCCCAGGTCTTTACAAATACTCCACAATAGGCCAAAT